TTCTGAGACAACTTCTTTAACCATCTGATTTCCACGGCCCTGGAGATGTTTAAAGAAGCAAGATGGGCTTTTATCATACATTTGATACATTCTAAACTGCATTCCTTCCCTTCTTTTCTTTATCATGTTTGGAAAGGCTTTCTCCTTCTTTTGAGAAAAGAAAGGCACAAAAAGGTTTGTTGCTACTTCTCACTTTTTTGGCACAATAATCCACAGTCTCCTTGGCTGTTCTTTTACTTCAAATATATCTTTTCTTCCAAAACCTTACTAGATTTTGCACTACTCACGAAGTTTATCTCATTTTGAGCTTTAGTTTTTCTAACCTTATTTCTTCAGACTGAGGCTACTAGTTTATACTGTTTTTAATTATCAACTCTCTCTTCCATTTCCCATCTTTTATCTCCTCAATTTGTCAGTGAGCTTCTTTTTAATTCTTAAAGGACTCTTAAACCTGTTCGTCTCAAAGGGATCATTTGTGCCTGAATTTTCATTATCTCAGTTATCAGATCTCCCATTTATTCCATTTGCTTAGTTGCTGCCCACCCTTTGAGTTCAACAAAATCTGTTTTCCTTGATATCAAGGTACATGACTGACTCAGCTTTTCCTCTTCTGCTTAGTGTAGGCTTCAAGGCAAAATTGTCTCTACTAACAAATTCCTGCCTTGATAAACATTAGATATAGGATACTTGAAATGAAAATGTTCAGCAACTGAGATCTACAGGACTCGCCACTTCATCGTAGCTGAATTAATTTTCCCACAGATACTTCTCTTCAGAACTAGGTGAGTTGGTTATGAAAGGCACTCTCCGTATCCTCTACTAGGGTGAAGGACCTATGAAATATCCACCGTTATATTATTTTTCTTACTCTCTTTAATCATAGCCAAATACTTTTAATAGGACTTCCATTTTCAGATTTATTTATAAATCACAGCTCCTTCATCCCTATTTTATTGGATCTTTTTCCTTTGAATAAGTAGTATCCTTCTAGTTCAACATCCCAATCATTGCTCGTAACCCAACATGTTTCCCTGATACTTCTCTAATATTGTCAGATGCAAAAAATCAGGAACTAGGGTAGGTTTTTTTTTTTTTATAAAGTACTACAAGTTTTTTTCATGCTGTCTATATACAAGAATCTGATCTACTAACAGTTAAGGCAAATTGGTGCAGATAAGAGTTCAAGGGAGGTTCTTAGGTCTCTTACAGGGGCATAGGGACTCTAAACTGATGATGCATTTGACCCCGCCCTCGGGCTCATCCTGGTCATCTCCTACAAATATTGTATTTTTCTCCATTTTCTCCATTACTCCATGTTCTTCCTGTTTCTTACACATCCTCTGTGCATTGCATACTTTGTACTCTGGTGTGTAGACACTAGAGACTGGAGATATCACTGCAAGACCTTTGAGGATTTATGAGTATCCTTTCTAGACCTTGTGCTGCCTTCCTTGTCATAGGTAGTCATGTGCCTCATACCCAGCATTTCTCTGCCTGAATCTTGGCCCTTTCTCCCTTTCTCTTCTACTAAGTTTCAAAAGGCTTTTGTCAAAAACCTATTTTTATCTGGTCTTCTGAGATGCAAACCATTCCTACCAACCTGCCCCTTATACTGGTGACAGCCTAAAACTTTTCCTGACTCCACTTCCTTCTTAGCCAGTTGCTCACTTCCAGGATCATGCTTTCCTTAACCATTCTCATCCTTTGTCTTACTACCCAGGGCTTTAGTCTCCTATAATCCTCTAAAATGTTTCACTTTTCTAGCAGTGGCCTTAAGATCCATATGTCAAACAAAAATAGTAGGGATCATTTAGTTTAATTGACTCCTGAATATCTAGCAGAAGACAACATACTTAGCGTGTTTGGTCAACACAATGCAGCTTCTGTTCCTTTCAATAAATCCCCTATTTCCACCAGTCTGTTTTCCTCCTCTATGGAAAGTTTTCCACTGTTGACCTCTGTGAAGCTGAGTCCTTTCCCTTGTTGAGGTACTAGTAACACCATATCCGGTGGGTGAAGTCTGCCTTCCATGTCTAGAATCACTTAATCAGGCCCAGTGGTCCAGACCTCCCCTTGTTTGTCCAGTCATGTTTTATGCCTCCAAGTACTTACTATTTCCACTGTGATGCCTTTTCCTTCTTGGAGTCCTCCTATTGCCACCTCTACTCCTGGATAAACTCTAGGGCCCTGCAACTCCTACTGCAAGGAGATAAGGATCCATTTGCACCAGATGATATACACTATGCAGGTCACCTTTCTTCATGCCTTGTTTCCTTGCACTCCTATTCTTATTTGCTGTCTTGGTCTCTTTTTGGGGTTGTGAGCTTCCAGCTTCTGTCCACTTTATAAAGATTGTTGCTTCAAGTACATTGTTGAGAACAGTTCCACCCATTACCCAGGTACTTCATCAGTGAATTTCTATGGTTTTAAAGCCAAATACATCCTCTTTAGGAAGTTCTGAGATTTTTTTTAAAAAAAAATTTCAAAATACATTAACTGTCAGCTATCTGCCTTTATTTCTCACCCAGAAATAAACTATCAATCTTTAGTTACTATTATTGTTTGAGCTCATGACGTTTATTCATTTTATGTATCATCATATTGACTTCAACCTCTTCAATGTCGATATTTATTAATTTATTAAAAGCATGCCTTGACTTCTCATCATTGGGGGAAAAATGCATTTATTGAAAAAAATTAACCCTGCAATTTCTTTAGCCTTAGTATGGATGGAGACCTTGTGGCTCTTTATGTATGGCTAAACCGCAACTCCCAGCATTTCAGGCCATTGGCCAAGTGGCTAGGACTGCTAAGGATTGGGTGGGGGGCTATATTTCTCAACCCTGGCATACTTGTAAACAGTGTAATGCATACCTTACACTCCTTTTGGTAGCACATGCGTGGGATAAATGTAAGCCCTCAGAACACCCCCAACCTTTCATTTCTCTACCGCAAAAATTGTGACACCACACCAAATAATAGGGTCTTAGTGAAAACTTCACAGTGACACTTTCCTTGTACACCAGAAATAAAAAAGAAGAAGCAATTTCTGTCTGCGCTAGTGACTTCAACATAGAACATAATACCATACAGATATTATTTGAGAGAATGTTACCTTCTACTGCCTATGCTTTCTTTCTACTTTTTCCTCCACAGCAACAGTGTTGAATACCTCAAACCCCGCCCCCCTGCTTTTTTCATTTATTAAAGTAAGCTCTTATTTTGATACAGGCTATGACACAACATTAGATGTGCACCATTAATCAAGGATCCTTGGAGTTTCGTATAACTATGCTTAAGATTTGGAGTGTGCTGTTTTAAAATAGCAGTTTTTATCCTGCAGAAGTTAAAGGAGCTGTCAATATGCAGTTTGGTATTTCAAAATACTCTGGCTCCAGTCAGCTCTAGTCTATTTACAAATATGAAAGAGATAATTATGGAGATGCAGCAGAAGACAAAGAAGCAAGGAACAACAATAACAAAAAAGCCACTTTATTGAAAATGAGATTCAAACCTCAAAATTAATATTACAATCATGAGAGAATGCCAAACAAATTCAATTTACAGTTGCAACATACAATACACACAGTCCCTTTGAAGATAAAGTAAACCCTTCCCTTCCACAATCGCTGTCTGCGGCACAAAAAAAAAAAAAGAATGTGTTTGTACAATCTGTGCATGGAAAGCAATTCTTGGACAACAGCAATTGGGGGAAAATGAAAGAAATTAAAGCTTGTATTTACAGGAAATGCTACAAATATTTTGCTCCAGCAGAAATTCAAGACTGGTAAAACATATTTAAGCAAAAAATACTGTGGAATATTGCTTAGTGTACCTAGTAAACAAAACGTACTGTAAAATATGATTTCTGGCTGATCTTTTTAAAAATATTGCAACGAACATAAATGGCTAAATGACAGGTCAAACATACTGAAATGAAATGTTATCACAGAAATAAAGCTCTTAGAAAACAGTATTTCCTTTGGTTTATATTTTATTCATGTTTAAATTATTGCTTTTGTTCATGGCTTTTCTCAGAGTCCTGATGCACGACCTCACCAAGACTAAAATGGAGGCTCCAGCAAGAAAGGAGGGCAAATGTATCAGGCAAACTTGACAGTGCAAAAATCTCTCCTTGATGAAGCCTGGCGAGAAGGGAGGAGGAGATAATGGCTAGCAAATCCATGCCCAGGGACTGCTAGCTTAGAGTCAGATTCAATGGAGCACCTTCCTAGATGCTGTGACAAGGGGTTTTTCATGGGCTAGTCGCTAGTGCCTATTTTGTACCAATAAACTTTGGATTCGCCGTGCCTAAGTTTACAAGTGAATTCTGAGTTTTTATTCAAGGCCAAGATTTGAAAAATCTCTCTGTAAATGCTTATACAGACTCCGTAAAGATGTTTGCACAAGCATTTTTAACACTATAAACTGGACTAACCTTTCCTGTGGACTTAAGATTCTAACTACAGCACATAATGCTAATGCCATCCCATTTTCCCTTCCTGCGTCAAAAGGAAATGAATTCGGAAGTAGAGATGGGTGACATACAGGAGAAACATTATAGTAACCGTAAAGTTTGAACTTTATTTTTTTTTTCTCCTGATGCCATCAAAGCATTAGGTATCTCCCAAGATGGATAAAAATGTTTCCAACTGAGAGCTTTTTAAGGCACACTTAAAACATGAAAGACACTAAAGAAGGGCATTGTGCTTATATCAAAGGTGCTTATGACTCTCTTATTATTATTGGTTACTCTGAACTGTAAAGCAAATCATTTCATTGCTGCGGTCAACAGTAGAAGGGCATGAACTGGACATGTTTTAGGGCAAGCAAAATTGCACACGTGAGCAATCTGGAGTTTTAATCCCAAATGATCCCAAAATATGATATAGAAACATTACTGAAGCTACAGAACAGAATATAAAAAATGATCTATGCTGGATTAAATCCAGGAATATAAAGCAGTATTAAAATTGTACAAGAATGTCTTTCTTTCTTCCTTTCTTTTTAAATGCATTTGGGTTGCTGCCCGCAGCCCCTGTAGCAACAAAAAAAATATCCCTACAAAATTATTTAAGATGCATATAGTATATCTTTTAAAAGGCCTTCTCAGCAATAAAAATAATGTACAAATATAGTACCTTTTATTAAATACACAACAGCATTTGCACTGGCAATTCATGTCCTTATTTTGGTTTGTTTAATCAACAATATTCCAAACAACTTGAAATGTGTAACCAGACACTAGCATTTTTAAGTGCTGCTGAAATGAACATACTTATCTTATAGATAAAAATCAATGGACAAGGGTATGCTTCAAGCTACCGCAAACAATAAATAGGATCAATAGCAACTTCCATCTTTGGAAGAAAATTACACATCAGGAAAGTCTCTCCTATTTATAAAAAGGGGACTTGATCATTAACCTTTAGAAGGCCAATAATTTTACCTAAGGAGCAAATGAATTATATCAATTTGCTAAGAATAATTCATGGGGATATAGAATCATTATTTGGGCTGTCTTAGCTATCAGCTGTCACTGAAATTGCCCAACTGTATTGTCCATTTTCTTATTGACTGGGTGTTCAAAAGATACTACATCTAACTATCCTTAGTTTCAGCAGCATCACAATCCATGGAAAAGACTGTTGCACACAGTTCAAGCTAAAGACAGCACAAAGGAGACCATAATAGAGGACAGAAAGACAACAAATTTCAAGAAGGTGACACCTTCTTTTAAAGAGCTCCTGCACTCCCTACCTTTCACTCACATCCTCACAGCCTGTTTCATTTGAGCCTATGCACAAAGCTACAAGTTGCTGGATTTCGTGTAAAGTGCCAAATTCTATCTACCATGAGTCTAAATAAGAATGGTCAAAGACTACAGAATAATTGGGGACAAAAACACTTACTTGCCAAGGAACTAATTTCTTACCAGCAAAAAAGATAAATGGTAAATGTTGGATGATTGGTTTTAAGAGCTTCAGGAATATTCATGTTTTTCAATTAGGAAAGCGGAACCTGACTTTATGAAAATATTGTCTTCTATAATCAATCTTCAGCTATTATATGTTGCCAGAGGCTGGAGCAGCACTGAACTGCAGAGAGCCTCTGCAGCGGTTCACATGTGCTTATTCCACTTTAATACAATGCCTTGTAACATAATGTATAGTTCCTGAAAAAATAATTTAAGAGTTCTTAAACAGAAAGCTACTGATTTCAGGTAAGTGGATGAATTCTGAAATGTCTCTTGGAGAACCTTCCTTGCGCCAATGCAGGGCTGTTTTACTGTTTCCCAAAGGCTGATTGAAAAACATGGAAAACTTTTGAATTTCACCAGATGAAGCTGGCTGGGATTAAAACATATGTATATAAGATAAATGTATATTTGAAATGTATGTGTGGGAGAGAGGGGATGTCTCTTCTGCTTGACAGGAAACCCTCCTACTAAAGGCCCCAATCTTGAGGGACAGAGCTTTGCAGTGCAGAAGGCAGCCTTGGGGAGGGCAGAGATGAAAAGGCTCCGTGTTAAGAGCCGAAGTGTCCACATGGACTTTTAGATTCCACCTCCTGGAGGGATTGTAGAGTAATGTATTCAAAATAATGCCTGTTCAATCTGTTTCCAGTTAATTTTTACCGGGTTAAAAAAAGACAACCCAATATTCAGTTACAATTAAAGCAGTACCTCCTCCATAGATTAAGCCAATGTATGATTATACCTGAATTCTTTAGAGATGGAAGCATTTAATTATTATTTTTTTTAAAAAAAAATAGATATTGCAGATAGTTTATACTGGAACTGCTTTTCAGAGTTCATGCATGGTCTGATATTCTGTACCAGTCAAAGGCTGCCACAATTTAAAAACAACAGACATTTTTAGAGACCGAAGTCAACATATCATTACATTATAAAAAACCTTAAAGGGACCAAACATTATTAAATAATTATAAATATTTCTTTAAAATTATATGACAATTCATTTTTTGCATATAACCTCAATTTTGTACACATTTATAACTTAATAAAATAAAACAAGATAGCCACACACACATACCACTGATACTGTTTTGGTTTGAGTACAATATATTGCCATTCTTTTTTTTTTTTCCTTGCATAAGAAATCAGAATTTGGTTTGTTTGTTTGTTTTTTGTTTTGTTTTGTTTTGTTTTGTTTTGTTTGGGGGACATTTTCCCCCAATAATTTTTTTGGTTAACTTGACTAAGGCAAAGGTAATCACAAAAATGTATAACACAAAACAAACAAGTTTGTCTTGGTACCTTATAGGGTGCTATTTCAGCAAAAGAAGAAGAAGAAAGCCAAGTGCTTCAAAAGTTTTCTCTTTCATCAGAGGCAAGGCTTTGATAAGATGGCTGAGGAGTTACTGTAAGCTGAAGATATTCTGGTATAAATGGAAGCATTTTTTTTTCTGTGTGCACAAACACACGGAGTGAATTACACTGTGCATGCGTGAGGGTCCTAGAGATTGTATGACTGCAACCGTACCTGAAGTTCAAGATGCTTCTGTTTATTTGAACAACAAATAAAGCACAGGCGTTGTCTTGACAATTGGCAGGAGTCCATGTCTCCTCTCTTGGCAAAAGAACTCGCTTTTTTTTAAAGGAGTCTAGACAGAATGGGCATCTTTTGGGGTTGGATCATTATATTTTAAAATATAAAACTGAGACAACATTCCCAGGAGGAAAACAAACTGTGCTTTGATCCACATTGACTGGAACTATGATGTGGAAAGTCAGTCTCATGTTGTATGCATATAATTAGCTGGTAACATCCCAGCTACTCAGTTGCACATATCAACAGAATCTATTTCAAAAACAAAACAAAAAAACAGGCACTTTATAATCAGCTGACAATCGTTTGTTTATTGGTTTGCTTTCTGTCTGATTGATTTTACGCCCCGCAGAGAAAATTTCAGTAAGGCCTCCAGACAGACTCATCCATTCTGCCACTAGAATTCAAGACTGTTGGGGAGCTGCTGTGGCTTCCATCAGCCTCCACACCATCATTCTGGGTAGGCAAGTTAGGGTTTAATAATGTGCTGCCGTTGGATGTGGTGGTACAGGGAGGAAGCATTCTGGAGGGGGAACGGTCTCCCCCCGGCACCATGGGGAACTGGTATGATCCTGATGATGTGCCATAGTAGAGATATGGAGTACTGCTGGTCTGGAATGGTCCACTTTGGTTTTGGGAAGAGCCCGGATAAGGTGGCGGTAAGTAGGTGTGGTAATGAGTGGTGGCTGACATACCCAATGACATGCCTGAAGTGACTGGCGGTGTATAAGTGAAGGTGGCTGGATAGTGCATTCGTGGGTTGGAGAAGCGGCTCTCAGTGAGGGATGAAATGCTTGTAAACTGCCTGGGATCTGAAAATGGGCTCAGCTCTGAAGCACCTAAAAATTGCAACAAAAGATGGGGGAAAAAATCTGTAAATATCCAGTTCTTTCTTAAGCGTGATGATAGAATGTAAATAAGGAGGAGAAAAAACAAACCCACTTTTCCCGCCCCACAAGAACAGCAAATCATTCTACATTTAAAAAAAACTGCAAGGAATAGTGCCTGACATCAACAGTGTCATACATAGCTTAGAGCTCTCTGCATTGAAAGGCTGCTACTCTGTTAAGATCATGTAATCACCTGTCTGTATCCACTGCACTCCAGCCTCTGGTCGTAATTTACACCTCTCATTCTGACAGGATTTGAATGGGGACCTATCAATGAAAGCCATCAATTTGACACATTCACTAGCAGCAACTAGCCTTTTTCTCAGCTGCCTCACAGTTGTTGTGTTTTAACATGCTTTTATTGGTGGTGGTGAACCACTGGCCCTCAAAAGCTGCTGAAATACAACTTACACTTTCTTCACCACTGAACTTGCTGCCTGGAGCTCCCGAGAGCTATAATTTGACACCACTAGAGGAACCCAAGAACTCTGTCTGCCTTGCTTTATATGCAGTGATTTTCATATGCACACAGGCAGAGGACTACATATGGCATCTCTGTGCTTGCCATGAAGAATATGAAGTTTATCCAAACTGATTTATGTACTGGAAGTGAAGCAAGGATGGCTGGAAACATTTCCCTTCACTTGAAGTCAGTGGCTAAAAGTCAAATTTAGAGGATATAGATTATATTCAGAAAATATGGCCATAGAGTCATGAAAAATAGCAATATTTATTATAATACAATGTACTAAAATAATGTGTAGCTGGAATGTTGCCTTATGCACTGACTGGGGAACAAGGCCCATGAGCTATGACACTGTGTACTTCCACTTTCATTCACTCACACCTTCCTTTACATGCTTATTTATAATCTGTCTTTATATAACTGTCTCTAATGGTTACACAGCTTAGTTTAAAATGGATTTAAGATTTTAAAATCAGGATTTGAAACTGTACATAAAGTTGGAAGCACTTTATAAAAGCAAAAACACCTCGTGGACTTAAAGATGTTAAGAGGGTGAAGGATGAAGCATTCATAAGCAAGAGCAGACTAAGGGAAGGGAACATTTGACCTTTCCTGTTCCCTTACTACCTTTAAAGAGTGGCAATACTATTTCTGTTCTGGCCTGATATTGGGGTGAGGTGGGGTGAGGAACAAAAGGACAGGATAGGTGGACATATTAAATACAGGTGCAATATATATAAACTTAGCAAACAGTACCTACAGTAAAAGCTTAGAATGGAATTAAACAATCTACTAACTGAAATAAATTATCCTTAAACTCTAAGTTAAATGGTACTATTAGAAGACTTTTAGAAAAAGGGTGAGGGTTCATTGTCCGAGCTTGTGGATTGGCTTCCAAACATTTCATTATCAGGCTAGGTAACATCTTCAGCAGATTTTAGGGGAAACCAATCTACAAGCTCAGAGAATGAACCCTCACCCTCATCCTATACCCGAGCTACAGATATTTGCCATTATTGCAAAACTTACTTCAATTTACTGATTGTGTAAATTGCCAATGACCTACTCAGATGTTGATCAAATGATATTTCTCAAAATCATTGCCAAAGACTACTGTAGTATATCTAACATAGGTATATAGGTACACTTTTCACTTAAGTCTTCATTTGATAATGGTTAGTTAAGGAATGGTCATCTAGACATGTTTCTTTACCCCATGGCCTGTGTTCTAATTATTAGCTTTTTCACCCAGCAGTGACTGTCTGTTTATGCAGAGGATACCAGCTGCTGAACCACCATCTTATGTGAAAATATAGCCTGGCATCTCATTTTCTCTCCTTTGGGAGGAGATGAATACTTTTTAAGGGGGAGAGCGATACATTTATATCTCAGCTGCATTAATTTGTGGTTGATTTAATCATGTTCACTAACAAACTAGGGATCCTGAATGTGGCTCACTTTATTTCCTGCTTACAGTTTATAACCTTAGTCAAGCCCATTGCCTCCTTCCAGCATTCTGCTTCTAAACTGGCCATCCAAATACTTTTTAGCAGTTTAATAGCTGTACTCCAGCAAACAACACCATATGCGGGCAAGGCCAGTATTGAAAAGCATAGCAGTCATCCATCATTCACCATGCCTGATTGAACAAATGCTCCTTGGCAATGTTGAAAGAGCTTTAAGGACTGGAGCCAAGAGAAATATTAAGGGGAGGGGCTTGATAGAGTTGGAGGTACACATTGCCCTCCATTTTGTATATACATGAGCTACCCTTGCTGTATGGAGATGTTTCCGCTCACTGACCATATTCTTCCAAGTGAGGGTATAACCTTACTTTCCAAATAGCCAGTTCACTATATTAAGGTTTTGTTATTCTTCCTCCAAAAGACTGCGATGGTGGCAGAAAAGTAGAAGGAGATACCACAATGAGAACAGCAGTCAAATATATTTTCATATATGGTGAACAAAAATCTTACTGGAAAAATGTCAAGATGATAGAAGACCATGATGCTATAAGTTGAGCCACACCAAGTCTCAGAATGAAAGTGTTTGGGTATTTTAAGACAGATTCTGCTGGGAATAGAAAGCCTGAGCAGCCCCAGAATGATTTCTCTCATACTCTTACCCACAACAGAAAAGGAAAACCTCAAATGTTGATTATATGGCCCCATTCATTTCCCATTTATACGTCTGCAACTACCTTCTAGATATTCAGCCATTCTCATTTGACTCAGAATAATGTTTAAACATTTTCAAGCAAAGCAAGAAGGCAAGTAAGTACATCAGTGGGCACCATTCAAAAAGTCCTATTGTGACATTTGTTGCAGCTTGTTCTTAGTATATTCAGCATATGAATTATCTAGCCTGGGTGCAAAATTTAAAGTCAGACTGTGGGTTAGATAATCTCTTATTGTTCTCCATTTAGCATGCAGGTCTAATCCTCTCCTTTCTAATCTTTCCTGAAATTTGCAAGGTTTTTTTTTTAAACTTGTGACATTGGAAGTTTAATTTAAAAAAAAAAAAAACTTACAGTGGCACAATAGAGGCTTTCTTTCTTTTTCTCTCTCTTTTAAACTACTGCTCCAGAGTAGTGCCATATTTCATAGGGGAAGCAGTTGGAAAAGAAACAACTAAGACTCTTCTTTGCACAAATGGGGGTTCAGAACTGGATCTGGGCCATGTTTGTTAACTTTGGAGTAAAGAATAAGTAGAAAAGGAACTGCATGCCATGTTATTAATCTAACAAGTACATTCTAATATTTTTAGAAAATCCCTTGATATACATTTCTAGTTTCCTTTTCCTTGTGTCTGTTACTAATCCGTGACTTGTAGCTTTTACAGCAAAGGCTCTTCTGAGCAGGCACACATTTCTTTTTCCTTCATTCCTGCCTACTGAACAACAGCCAGAGGCAATACCACCCAGAAACAAAGTTGTTATTTTAGAATCATACCATGTTGCGTCCCTATTCATACTGGGAAAAGGGACTAATATTTATTGAGAAATTTAACATTGCTATATAATTTCCACAGATGCAGAAAAGATTAATTGTGATTCTTTTTTTGCCTACATTAGAAAAATGGTGAAATTACTAATGTAAGCATGGAAAAGAATTCCTCTTTTTTTGTATGTGTGGAAATATATGGGTATATGGTATCTATAACTCAATGAAAGAACAGATTTTACATACAGAAAGTCATACATGGTGTCTTTGGAAGATGCTGGTCTGGAGCTTTTGCGGAGCAGAAAGCCATTGCTGATCAAGAGTAAACACGACTAGCTAAGTGGACAAATATACTGTCTTCTATAAAACAGCTTTTTACATTCATGACCTTACATTTTGCAATCTTTCCTCCAGTGATGAAGTTTCAGAATGAATGCCAACTCTTTTATAGCCAAGATGGCACAATCTACAATTCCATGCTCAAAGAAGAATTAGAAGATTTCACAGAAGGAAAAAAATACAAAAATATTGATGGGGGAAAGAGTCAACGCTTTCTTCCAACTAAAATGGCAATTTCAATGGAAACTTTGTTTCCATAGCTGGGTGGTGAGGCATTTTCAATTGAGGAATCTGAGTTGGGGGGGGGACTCTTTCCTGTCTATAAACTGTGACCCTATCCAAATTTGCTCCTCTCCTAATCGTAATGAAGAGAGATGAAATTATATTAGAAACTATAAAGAACCAGTCAAGAGAAAAATGGTTCCAAAATGAAAGAAGGAACTCAAAGATGTAAAAAATGCACAGAGAACTAACTGCATGGCCTGGAAAACAAAAGAGAAAACATAGGATTTTTCCTGTAGCCAGAATATGCACCATCTGTCTAATCAAACCATAGCTTTCTGATTTAGTTTTTAGTGTGACACTTTTAAAAAAATGCCAATATAGTAGTAGTTCCTATTTCACAATACTGCCATTTGGAAAACTCCAGAGCCGAGAAGGGTAATTTATTATTGTTTTGCAGTGTAGTTTGTGCTAATATTACTCAGGCTCTGTATAGTTTACACAGTTATGCAGCTATTTGCATGCGATTTGCAAAAGGTGCTTCATAGTGTGTATCTCTGTCTACAACAGTTTAAATGTCCTCAGAAAAGTTGCAACTGGTTTAAAGTGCTGCATCTGAAGCATTGCAGACAATAATCCATAATCCCAGACACATTTGCTTCAACGTAAATCCCCCTTGAACTAACTGAAAGTCATTTCTAAGAGTCAGAGAGAATTGTATTAACAGATTACTATTGCCAATTGACCCAAAGAGAATTGTATATATCAGGCATGTCAAACCTGTGGCCTGTGGGCCGGATGCGTCACGCATTGGCCACCCCCACCCCCCCATTTTAGCGAAGGGGAAAAAAGTTGTGATACGTCATGTGACGACAACGTGATGATGTGAGTCAAAGTTGTTCATTATAAATGATGTCAACATTAGGGCTAAGGCTAATCTAGGTTCCCAGAGAAATAAATCCGATCTGTTTTGCAAGTTG